TCTCTGAACTCTTCAGCGGGTTGTGCTTGCTGGGTGAAGGAGTCATCTCGAAGGTCGTCGGTTGACTGTTGCTATCAGGAAGATCCAAGTTCGCTTCATCTAGGCTGGTCTTTACGCTTGGTTATGTATAGAGAGAGTCTCTTGGGGACAGACAGGTGTGTTGTTTGACTGAAGTGTTGTAACATGATCGTGCACTAAGCTGATCTCCTCTGATGTAGCCGTTGCCATGGGGGGTTGGAAATTTCATCAAACAGCATATGTGTGGATACCATAGCCTTGAGATCATTGATGCCTGTGCGCCCAAAGATGACATTGTATGCCGTCGGGCAATTGACCACTAAGAAGTTAGTGGTAATAGTAGCTGTGTAGGGGCCTGTACCAATGGTGAAGGGTAAGTGTATACTCCCTAAAGGTTGCACGATCGCCAGAGAAGCTTATCAGAGGAGAAATCGAGCGATCTAGCAGTGTTCAGCTACATTAAGTGCCTTGAAAGCTTCAGCAACATGATATTGACTGAAGCACCTGTGTCTATCAGGATTCGTTTCACATCAAAATTGCTATGTGAGCTTCCACGATCAGCGGGTCATTGTGAGGGTAGATTATACCTCTTTCTTCCTCAGGGTAGAAACATATTGGATCCCAGTTAGGCTTTTGATACTTGCCTCTCTGATGTCTTCCACGTGAAACACTTGATGGCCAGGTCTCAAAGTTTTCGTTCACTGCTTTTCATGGCCCTATTGGAAAGATTCAGATATGGTGTGCCGCCGCTTATGGAATATATGACATTCACCTGGCGTTGGTTACGGTTATCCCTTTGAGGGTGAAGAAGGAATTGATCAATTTTTCCTTCTTCGTGCCAAAGTTTCAATACGATCACGGAGGTGATACATTTTTTCGCTATCATGGCCGTTATGCTCATGGTAGCAACAAAACCTGCTCGCGTTATTCGGGGGCGTGTAATCTGGGTGCCTCGGCTTTGGCTTTGGTATCAGGTGAGCTATGCTGGGGTAAATGGCCGCGCATGTGGCATTCAAGGGCGTGTATGTCTCATACCTTGGGGTAGGGGGTATCTTGACGCGGGTTTGACCCACTGCATTGACTGCCTTGGGGCGAGCGTTATTGTGGCGATACCCTTGGTTATCGGGATAGTGTCCCTTACTCTTTTTACTGAAAGGAGAGTGGTGAGGATGGAAATCCTTCCTCTTGCCTTGAAATTGATATGTCTGTTGATTCGGTGAAGCATTATGCAAGGCATGGGGAGGTGCCACTGCTGTTTGGGAAGTCGAGGTCTTCTCATTTAGGTGAGTCTGGCTTCCACCTCCCACTTGTGATAAAGGATGGTTGTAGGGGGTTTCTCCTGATATGTCTTTGCCTCGGCGGAGGCATGGTTATAAAGCCTGCGCCATTACCTCAGAGTAAGTCTTCCAAGTATTGGCATTGATCATGTATTTAAAGAAACAATCACGTAGGCCTGCCGTGAAGGCTTTGAGGGCAGTCTTGTCGTCTGCCTCGGCACACCGGGAGTATTCATGGCTGAAGCGGCCAGCATACATACGTAATGACTCGTCTGGCTTCTGGCGGATAGTGTACAAGTCATCTGCAGAGTGCAAGCGATCGGTTTGGAAAATGTGTTGGGAAACAAATAGTTTCCTCAATTCCTCAAATGAGTCTACCGTCTCAGGTGTAAGACGACAATACCAATTTAGAGCTCCACCAGAGAGGGTGGAGGGGAAGAGAAGACATCGCTCGTCGTCGGTGTGCATCCGGTATGCCATGGTGGACACAAAGAGGTTAAGGTGCTCAATCGGGTCCTCTTTTCCAGTATAAAGTTGCAAGCCAAGCTTTTGCTTTGTCTTTGCTTGAAGGGGGGTGTTGAGGATCCTCCTTGTAAGAGGGCCAGGCCTGGGTTGGTTCCAGTCAGGTATTTCAGCCTGACGTTCAGCCTTCAACTTGTTTACTTCCTCAAGAAGTTGTAGGACAAGGGGGTCCTGAGCGGAGTTATGTGTCACTGGAGCTTTCTTTCGTAAATCTCCATCTCCTATTGGAATTAGGAAGGTTTGATCAAGGGCATGTGATTTTTCCCTGGACTCGCTGTACTGGCTTCCAGGGTATGTCTGTCGGAACACCTCTGAGTCCCCTGTACCCCTCATGTCTCTCTAGGACTTGTTGCCCCTTCCCCAAATTGGTGGCCGGCTTGGGCCGTGGCAGGGGACCGAGGTCTCTCAGAAATCCTTGGGTCATTGATCTTTGAGCTTATATGGATGGAATTCTCTCGACGTTGCTTCAGGAAATCCCGACAATCGCGAAAGACGGCTTTCGATCCTTCTGCCCCTTCAGCAAAGAGGTGTCTCCCTCCACTTCTCATGGTTCGGGTCGAAGCAACTGGGTTAAGAGAAGCCTCATGTTGATTATCAAGTCGAGGGGTAATCTGTTCCCTATCAGGGATATCTATGTCGAATGCATGTGACCCTCCATGTTGGAGGGCACCCAGTTGATGGTTGACTTCCACGGGGGCAACAAGCTCGCGTGTCTGAGCTTGCCTAGCTTCGTGGAGTGTCTCGAAGAGCTTCTCATATTGCTCCTGGAGGACCTCATTCCTCATTGCTATCTTGTTGTTCTGAGCTTCCAACTCATCGACTTTAGCTTGAAGAAGAACTCGTTTTCCTTCCCTTCTTTCGTTGTTTCGCACTATGTGCAAGGGGGGTGTCATTCTGTGTGCTGTGGCTTCCTTCGCTTCCCATGTTGGAGAGGGATGCCTGATCAAAAGAAAGTGTACGAATGATAGAAACCAGCTTGACACAGCTGAAGAGAGTAGGAATAAGTGTCGTTTCCCACAGACGGCGCCAAATGTTTGATGCACAAAATCAGCGAAGACTTTGGTACAACAGAAAGTGTCAGGTTTTGTGACCTTCGCTTGGTTGCTTGGTTGCTTCAGTCACTAGTGAGGATAAGTACGTAAATGAATAGAGACAGAGAAGCAAACACAGGATGTACGTGGTTCACCCAGATTGGCTACGTCCACGGAGTAGAGGAGTTCTTATTAGTAGTGAAGGGCTTACACAAGTAGAAAGGATCAAGCTCTCAATTTAGTGAGTTCTTGTGAATGATTTAACACAAAATGGCATTAGGCAATATTGTGGGGGAATGACCCCTATTTATAGAAAAACTTGTAGCTTTGTCACATTGACATGTGTCATGTTGTGATTGGTTCTTGATGTCGACACGTGCTGCGCTCTGATTGGCTTCTAATCTTGACACGTGTCGAGTAGTGATTGGCCTCCTGGTCGGAGGGGAACTCTTCTGGGTCCTTGACAGTATAGCGTTGGCCGGTGCTCGGTAGTTTCGGGATTGGTCAAGTATGGTACAAACAAATTCCTTGCTAATTTATTGGGTGCTAAGTATTATTGGATCGAGAACATGATTTGTGTTAGTTTTACATATATAAAATAAATGGGTAAACGGTTACCCGTTTATAACCGTGGTTAATACTCATAACCGTCCATTTAAGTTTCGTGAGTAAACGGTTATACCCATAATTGTTTATTTATGTAAACGGTTACCCATAACCATAACCGTTTAATTTAAATAGGCGGATAACCGCGGTTACCCATAACCAATGGGTATTTGCTCATCCCTAGTCTTGACCTGCAACACCTCCTCCGGCGACGCGCTGTCGACCACGGGCAGTGCAGCCCATGACTGTCCGAAGACAAAAAGATGAAGATATGTTGTGTGTTGAGCTATGGGAAGCTCTCAGTAGAGACTTGCGTACTCCTTTCACATAACACAAAGTTTTCATCAAAATATGCAGTCCAAGCTCTTGTCTATCAGCAATCCAAGCTCAAAAGGTTACTCCACACAACCAACAATCCCAAGTCCTACACCGACTCCCCTTATAGCGCCATAACTGAGGCCGAAAATAGAGAATTGAGGAAAGATGATGCCAATGTACAACTTGTGCTTTATGCTGGGAAAATCGATCTCTCAAATGACAATGAGAAGCTCAGAGCACATCTGCAAGGCATGCAGTGCAGGGTCATGGAATTGGAAAAACGTTGCAAGAAAATGAAATCTCAAATGGCGAAGTTTTCGAAATCGAAAACACCAAGCCACACCCGGGCGATGCAGCCCATGACCCGGTTCGAAGCAACCCGACCCAAGACATCAAACGGCTAGAGGAGAGCCGCGTAGTGCAACAGGCGTTTAACTTTGTTGATTGGTTGAGGTAGAGATTGGAACTCGGATATCAAAGTTTGGAGTTTTAAGGGGACGAGCTCGGCGGTTTTGGAGGAGGGGGAGAGGGTGAGGGCGGAGCAGGAGAAGATGGAGGCGGAGCCAGGGTTTTGGGGAGGCGGCGACGGGTGCTTTAATGGGTTGGGATTGGAAGACAGTAGCGTTTGGATGCATTTGAGGGATTTGAAGGGTGTGGGCTGGGGAGTGGCCGGAAAGTGGTATTTTCTCTGTCAAGCCTAACGGAGGAATGACAAAAGAGCATAAATCCTAATAGACTTAGACCACAAGGGTTTAAATCCAAATTTTTTTACCACAGGGGCTATCTTCCGAATACCTTATGACCACGTGGACCATTTATCCGATTAGGTCTTATTTTTATTTTCAACATATCTCTTCACGTGTGGTAAATTTTCAAGCCTAGTATGTAGAGCACGTGCAACCGTTGGACTTCACACAACAACTTGTTCTGATACCTTGAAGAAAGTTAAGATTTCACCATAAAACCCTGACTTATAAGTCCATGCAAAGTCCCTCCTATCTATGTGAGATCCATTCTCAATAAAAATAAATTACTAGCACTATAGTATAGGATGTTGGCAGGTTGGGCTGGGGACATGTAGATGGGTCCAAGAAGGGCTGCAGGCCTTCTCAGGAGTTGGGCTAGGCTGCGTGTCACGCCCCGGACCCGGGGTCAATAGGAAAAATAACTCTGAATCCGAAACGTGAGATAAAAGCTAACTAATTAAAATAAAACTGAAATAACGGAGTGAAAAATAAAATTCTTCTTATTTAAAATAACTCAATAATTATTTACAAGGCTAAATAAATAAATACAAAATTATATCCTCACACTTAATCTGATCTCATCCTGTCTACCCTTTTTTTTACTATTTAGTTCTTAAACCTGCATAACAATAGAGGGGTGAGCTTCAACAGCTCAATAGGGACATAACTTTATCACAATAAATTGAAAATATTAAATTAAGTGTCATAAAATCATGTAATCAAGTACCAAATCATTATCATCAACAATGCATGAGTGCGATACAATACTCTTCATCTCTACCCGTTAATTCATATAATAAAACACGCGGACCTGCACATCGCATACCATGCATTTTACCTCTACAGTAGTGGTTCGAATGTTCTAATATACAAATTAACCCCCTGTAACTCAATCATCCCAATTTCCCTTTTTGTTAGTCATATTGCCAAAACCTTCGTCGCCAGTCCCGAATTACCCTTAAAGAATTTGTGTATTGTGGGCTCGCCTGAGACCTAGTACCTGCTAAGAGTTTGGCTAAACTACACAAAGGATCATTTCCAACTACCCTCATTTCCAGTTCCTTTCTCAACATCGAACTTCCAACTATTCTCATACATGAGTAATGCACAAATAATCTCATTTCATCATTCACATGTACCACAACATATTCTCAGCGAATAGCATTTCACCAATAATTCTATAACCAATAACAAATAAACACACAAGAGCAGTATTTGTCCAATTAGTAAACCAGATCACATTAATCAACCAACAAGATCAATAACAATAATAATATAATGTTTCACGAAATTTAATAAAGCCAGTCTCCGTAAAGGTCTGCCATATTTCCCCTACCTGGATTCCAAAGCATAGCTCCGAGATAATAACACAAAGAAGTATAAGAAAATCACTATATGCAAGACAAGAACTTTAATCCCAGTCAAAGCACTTGAGATTACTAACTTAACAACACCCATTTCAAATACCCTTTTGATTGATCTAAAATAATGACATGGTCATAAGAGAACATTTGAATGAGTACAACTTGCAGAAAAAGGGACAGGTGAAATACAAATATAAATATGCATGCTGTCTTCTTGGTGTATAAGCTGGGAACATAACTTTAGCCAATAATTAAATAAAGTCTTACATATGATTAATGAATAAGTAAACTAAACCACATATATAAGCAAATTACCAAATGTATGACATGAACTCTAATCCTAATTAACATATTTAAGTTTAGCGATTCCGCAATACTAATTCACAAGTTATTATATATACATCAACTCCAAACACATGCTTTACTTGATACAGTTGAAACTATACCTATGAACATATGCGGATAGTTCCATGCCGAGAAAGCTAGCTTGGTTTACTCTGGCTTGTGCAAAGTTATATGCATGAATACCAGCATATACGTAAATAGTTTCTCTCAAAACCAATAAGAAAGATATATGTGCGAATTAATATGCTCAAGTCCTCTTTTATACAACAACCTCTAATAAAGGGAAGATATAATATTTAGCATGTGATAATTATATATAGGCTCAATCTTATCACTTTTGTGTAGGTAAGATGATCTCCAATTGTAAAGTCTGATAGCCAAACGTCTATGCAGATATACTTACATATATACTACAAACCAACAGAGATGAAACACGACTGAGTTGTACAATATATAGAGCTATGGAAAGACTAAAAAATATGAGAATCATTACCCATATTTACCCTGCTACAGATTTGACACCGCCGATTAAGAAGCACCTCAGCTTCCGGTTTCTTACACCCTTCTCTTTCTCTCACTCTCTTTTCCTCGTAAGATACTAATGTCCAAAACGAAATGCAAGTGTAGCTCCCTATTTATAGTCAGAGAAGGCAGCAACTTCTTAGAGTGCTGAACAAGCACTTAGAGCACCTTGCTGGCAACACCCCAGCCACCCTTATCCATATATTTCTTTGGCCATCTATAAACTTCACACGTCCAGCTTGAAAGAGTGCTTAGCAAGCACCACTAATGGCTGCCTTAGAAATTGAGACACCTCATAAGACAAATAAAATATAAACTAGTAAAAAGAATATAAACCATTACAAAATTAAAATGAATAATTTAAAAATATAGTTTTTAAGTCAAATAATACTGAAAAAGTCTATTAGACTTATTTGATCAAAATAAATATTTTTTTTATATAAATATAAAATACAGGTCTTCACAACCTTCAATTCCTTAGTTTCTGGTAAGAGTGTGCTAATAACGTGTTGTAGGCATATTTGACTGAACTATATTTAGGACTAGAAAAGGGAGAGAGGCCGGTGGCAAGAAAGAGAGAAGAGAAAAATTTAATTGTGAGGTGTGTGTTGTATCACCACATTGTGCCTTTATTTATAGCAATATGATAGATTAAATCCTTACCCTAATAGGATTACAACTATAATAGGATAATAACTACTAAAGGGAATATTCAGAGGTATCACTAAATACACTAGGATTTACACAACACATTCCTATTCTAAATATGATTGCAATATTATTCAATTTTTTTTAACAAACAATATTATCTACACTAAGAGGGAGCATGTGGGCTTAGCCTCATAATGGGCTAGCAATAATGTGGTTCAAAATCGTTTTTAGTGAGAATCGAACCTAAGATGTCTAATTTACAAGTGAAGAGGAATACCACTAGACCGTAGTACTAAGTGACGTTATTCAAAATTTAAAATAGAATTCTCAGTCAAGTATTGAATTGTCCTTATGAAAAAGATTCGCGATTGTATTTTTTTTCTTTTCATTAGAAAACAAAATTAGGGGAAGGGAGGTTATTCCATTCCAAGACTAGAGCGTATCACAAGATTTTTTAAGGATTCACAGAGGGGGCTTCAGTCTTTTTTTTATTTATTTATAAATTATATAGATTTCACGCAAGAGGGATTGTCGGCAACAGGACTCGAACCTAAGTCTTGATCTATTAAAGAAAAATATCTTTATCAACTCAAATAATTCTGAATAAAATTTGTGTTTATATCTTACATTTGATAACTATTTCAATTTTTCGTTTCATGTGCAAGTGAAATTTCACTTGGTGGTCAAATTGTGAATTCGAGGTCATAATGAATGGGCAAGTGATAAATAGCATGTAGCATGTTGATAAAAAACAAATCGAAGGTATGATGAATTTTTGGTTGGCAAACGAAAATTAAAATTGAAATTGGTTTTACACAGATTTCAAAGATTGCATTGATTTTGAAATTGAGAAATGTTAAGGAGAGTTTCTCGAACTCTCCGTCACCTTATGTTTTTAATTGGGTTCTTTAGAAAATGGCCCTTGAAACTCTTATTTTCCAAACAAAAACCCACCTAATATTAAATATCCAAATAAAACCCAAATTTCAAATAGAGTACCATGTAGACAAATATGTAACCAATTATTATCACATATTTACAACTTATGCCACAAAACCCTAATTATGTCAATAAATATTATTACTTACCCTAATTATGATTAGTAATTAACCCCATATGGAAAATTTCACCTTTCTTGTATGGTAAATATTAGGAATATTATAATATATATATATATATATATATATATATATATATTATATGTATTAATTTAACCATGTTCATAAACAATTATGGGCACATTTTTCATATGAAAAAAAAAATCCTTGTACAATCAGTTATTTTGCATCAAATAATATTGTTGGATAAAAAACAATAAAAAACCAATTAATATTCTTTTATGTTGTAGGTAAATTATTTTACCTAGATTATTACATACGTTAGGCATATTTTGTTTGTTATCATATATGCTTGTTAAAAATAATTTATCTATATTTGTATGTAAAATATAAGTAAATTAATTTTGAATCAAATAGCATTTATTTTGTAGGTAAATTAAAATAGTAGTTCCATTATTTTGGTAAAGTTAAACAGTGCCTAAATTATTTCGTAAGAATTAAACCAAGACAAATTATCTCTACTAAAATAAAACAGTAGATATTCGACAAAAAATAAATAAAAAATAAAACAGTAGATACATTATTTTCTTATAAGATTAAACAATAGGTAAATTATATTGTAGGTACATTATGTTTGTAATATAAAAAAAAGAAATTGAAATTTATAAACAAAAAGTAGTAGATATATTATTTTTTAATCAAATTTCCTTTATTTGTAGGTGAATTATTTCATCATATATTTTTCATTTTATGCATTATTATATATATTGGGCACATTTTACTACTAATATATATGTGTGCAATAATTTACCTATATTATTATATAAAATATAGATAAATTTATTTTGAAATCAAATAACATTTTTTATATTACAAACATAATGTACCTACAATATAATTTACTGGATATCCGATCCCGTCCTACACCTATTAGGACTATGAACCTAGTCCTTAGCTATTAGGACTATGAACCTAGTCCTTAGCTATTAGGACTATGAACCTAGTCCTTAGCTAAGCTGGATTAATTTCCTGGATATCCGATCCCGTCGAGACTCCCCATTGCACTAGGATTCGTCTTAACCGCCCTAGGTTTGGACTCCCACGGGTTGACCGATCCATGGTCCTTTTGCCGCCCGGCCTCCTGGGCCGAGAGTGATCCTACCCTCGGCCCAAACTATTATTTTGGGCCCAAACACATCCATACATAACAATTGGTGTGGTATATTCATATCACAACATAATGAACAGTAAGAACTAGCATTCTTGAGACTAGAACTCGTAGGGATAAAAATAGATTACGGATAGAATCAAATTTGCGAATACAATCTCCTTAGAAAGAAAATCATGTCTCATATTAGCCTGCTTTGGTTTCCTTGCGAAACTTTTGTTATCGGGCTAGCATACACTCTATATGTTTCTAGTGATTCACATGATATTATCAAATGAAAGTCTTGGATAAGAATTTATAACGCACTATGACGTTCTTGTTGACGATCCTTTACTCCGATAGCATCTAGAGTTCATCTCTTTGAAATTGCTTTCGTTTTTCAAAAACCAACGGGGAAATTCAGTTTTCAAATCATAATTGTCACAAAAATAAATGTTTTCGTTCAGGATTGTGGGTGACTTGTAATACCAAATCATGTTATGTGCCAGCGTAGAGTTTTACGTGGAGGTAAAACTATAGTCCCAATATATTTTCATATAGCTTTTATTAAAGAACGAGATCCACGTGACTTTTGGCATCACCTATTCTTCCTAGTCCCTAAATTATAGACCATTATTTATTTATGATTGTGACAGTTTGTCACGAATCATTACGCTCGTACAAGGTTCTTACTCTCATTATTAATGAGAGACTTATTTTCTACACATCTTTTTATATGTGGTGAATTTTCAAGCTTAGTACGTAGAGCACGTGTAGCTTTTAGAATTCACATGACAACTTGCTCTAATACTATGAAAAAAGTTGAGGTTCCACCATAAAATCTATTGGTATAGAGAGTATGCCAACTTACTTATAAATTCATGCAAAGTCTCTCCTATCAATATGAGATTTATTCTTAATAAGAATAAAACACTAGCACTACGGTGTATTGATATTGTTCTGCAACTTGTAAGTGATGAGTCTCATATTCAACTTCTACAAATGATGAATCTAATATCTTATTCTTGTGGCTAGTAGTGCGCGTCTTATCTCAATTCTCACACTAGCACTATAGTCAGGTGAAGTTATTCTCCAACTATATGTAAGGTGAACTTTAACTCTTATAAACTATAAATTCAAAGGAAAATTAATGAAAATGCTTGAAAACTTATAGTTTTAACGATAAGGATAAAATAAATGGTAAAATGAATAGTACTATGATTGATTTTTAAGTATAATAATATAATTTTTTATTAAAGTAAACAATACCAAGAACTTTTCGATAAAGTTTTCTAAATTCAATACCTAATTACTATGATTAGTTAGCGTGCGACTTAGAACATCCTTCTAGAGAAAAAGTAGATAATAAAATTTTCTCCAGCAAACTTATTCAAACTCTCTGACCCCATCTTATTTGCTTCACCAACTTAAAAAACCTGACTTAATTATTAGGCACAATGTATCAACTGACCAATCGTCCACTTGTTGCGTAAGAACAAAACCACCAATATCAGTTTGTCAACCGTTTGGATTTGAGAATCAAATTAGTATTTAATTAATGAAGTAATTAAGTTTACAATAGTACCTGCATAATCCTAAATCCTTGCGTACACTTCCGGATTACAATGTATTAGTTCGTTCAGATCATATTCTTATAGGAGTCCTGGGTTGATATGTAATTTAATTTCTAATTTACTCAAAAGGAACGAGTAAGATGTGATGTAGAATAGAAGGTTGAGAGAATCGAAGAACAATTAAAAATGCGTAAGGCCCAAACACTACAAATTTAGACTTCAAATTTTTATTTGTGCCCATAATCTATCGTTTCAAAGACAATGGCGAGGTGAACAAGACACAATGCTCGACGTATGAATATTTTTGGCCAAATTCCTTTGTTTACTAGCCTCAAACGAGATTTTACAATTTTTTGGACCCTTATGTAATTTGGTTTTCCCATTTTTACTCTAAGAGCAACTTCACCGCTAAACAAACCCTAGGCAATAGGCAACTCAATCTCCCAAAGTGAACAACAACTGTCCTTAGTGAACCGTAACTGTCCAAGTGTATCTCCACTCCTAAATTGAATAGCCCAGGCTATTGGAATTAAAATATTTGTTTATAAAATAATAAAAGATAATTTTGTTTTTAATTTTGGACGTTTAACCAAATCTCGGTGGAAGAGCAATGTTAGGTATTTATAGAACTATAAATTTTTTTGTTAACCTTTTCAATATTTTTAATAAATTTTCTGTATTTTTTTAATAATTTGTATCTAACCTAATTAATATGGACCATTTGATTACATTGTATGATTAATCCAAAAGCCCAATTTAGACACGTAATTTCAACGGTAATAATAGGATTTTCTCTTTTTAATTTTTTTTTAAGCTCGAAAAATTTGGACCAATATCTAACAGACCAGATTCCGCCACGTGGACAAGCCGTTATTTCGAATCCAAATTTTTTTAACCATAAGAAATCCAATGGCCGAGAAATTTAACGGTTGAAAATCCGACGGTAAAGGTGCCGTAGCCCCTAATTCTAAAGCACTGGGTGCGCCTGCAGCGCGAGCCCGCCCGATTTCTTGTCGGCTCACCCACCGATTGTTGCACGTGTAGTTCGCGAGCCCAGCACATAAAAAAAGAAGGCTAATATGGCTGACGTCACTCTATCCAGTCGTTGGGCCTGGAGATTGATATGGGCCGGAGTTGCTCTAAAAACGTTTTAAGGCTAAGGGGCACTTTAAAAGTAACAAATTCAACATGTGGAGGGTCATCATTGCAAATGATTGTTACTTGGCCACAAATGAGGCTTTTGTACCAAAGTTTCAAACTCTAAAGAAAATGGAATGAAATTGTTGCCACGTGGCACGTCACTAGCTAGGTGGTTCATAAAACTAAAGTCACGGCAGGTAATGGGATAACGATTAGAAAATTGCCTTTTGAAATTGTTGCCACGTGGCACGTCACTAGCTGGCTTGGTGGGTCGCCATTGCCTTTTGAAAATTGCGCATAAGGATTTCAGACTGGTGAAGAATTTGGGCGCGTTTGCCGTTCGAAATCCAGTTGATTGATGGAGAAGGAAGGAATTGGATTCCATTCAAATTTACTTTATATAGGAATTTTAAGAATCCTTACATTTTAATCATTCATCGTATATCGAGAAGATTAGAAAATATTTTACTTTTTTATTTAAAATTCAGCATAAATAATATCTGATAAAAATTAACTGTACAATGTACGATAACCGTTAAAATGTGGAGATTTTATTTTCGAGAAGGGAGGGCCCAACGCAACGCACGCTTACCCTGACAGCGCAATATTCCAATTTCTTCCTCAACTGCCTCTCTTTTTTCCATTTATTTATTTATTTTAAATTCATAATGTTCTCTTGCTGTCTCTACTAACGTAAGCCGCATGGTTGGTTTTTGTAATCTCACGATATTCTACTCCCATTTCACCTAGTCTCGAGAAGAACTCACATCTATTAACGCATGTGCGAGCGATCGCCAGTAATATTTGCCGGTAACATATTGCCTTAACAAAAATCTCCTCAAGTACGTTGGAATTAGAAATTAAGGCAGACTAAAATGCACCGGTTCTAATTATTTTCGTAACAAAAAAACCGATAAATGAAAAACTAATTTGTCTTAAAATCTTGATTATCATCTCACACGTTATCGGTTCATTTTAGAGATGAAAATGCTATTTACTCTTCGAAAAATAATAATTAATTTTTTCGCTTAATCGCAAATAAATAAAATAAAATAAAATACACATGTTTTTAGACAAACAATGAATACCAGACAGCGATTCTCTCTCCTCTCATCTCACTCTCTTGTTTCCAGTTTCCACGCCCAGTTTTCCATCCTGTCACGATTTCCCCAAAATTCATTTTTCTGCAATTTTTTGCTGTTATTATTTTTGAGTAAATAAAGTTTCGATTTTTTACCCAAGGAGTAAGACCGTGGAGGATTGCAGTTAGGGTTTCGTCGTTAAACCTCCTGCAAATCTCGTTCGGAGGCGACAGAAGCTGTGGAGTGTTTCGGAATCGTAGAAAGGGGGAAGGTTAGGTTTTCTTGCGGACTCGATTTGGGAGGGGTTAGTCTCTGGCGACAATGGCCAGCAACTTGCCGATGAGCCCGCAGTTGGAGCAGATCCATGGCGAAATCCACGACAATTTTCGAGCCCTCGCGTATGTCTCTGTATTTTCGAGTTAGCATTTCGATTTTCATCGGTTACTGAATAAATTTCAGAGCTTTGATATTTCTTCAAGTGTTTGAATTTTATGAGCATTGTTGATTGTGTGAATTCGATGATTTCTGAGAGTCCTAGAATGTTTGACATTTGACGAAAGAAATTAGAGGGATGGGAAAATCAATTTGCTTGTTTTGTAATTCGTTTGTGTATTCTTACGAAATTTAGTTAGATTGATGACCGTAAACTGTAGTTGAGCATTATTGATTTACCGTAGATTCAGTTGCTAAGGCGATTCGAAGAGGATATGTGCTTCCTCAGCTGTTCCAATAATACTCAACCTCTTTTCGATGTTTTCGGGAGTGTTGAGTAACATTGTTTCTCTTTGGAAACTTAAAGTGGGTGTCTTTTGGATAACACAAATAAATTTACTAGCTTTCAAGACTCGAGTTGCTCTATCGATTTTGCACATTGATGCATAAAGCATTGGCATTGGTTATGCGAGGGAACCAAATACTGAAGTGAAAAAATTTATTTTGGCCATGCTCTTGATGATTCATTACTACTCCCGTGCTACCTAGAGGGCAATAATGTTATTGCTTCCACAGCCGCTTAAATTTTTTTTGGCATCCATACTTGAAACCCGAGGGCAGCAACAACCATGATATACTATCTGGAAACTGATGGATAATGAGGGAGATATTAGTCAAATAGTAGCCATTGCTTAGTATTTGTTCTTTATTAGAGTCTCATTTAGCTTCCACTTGTTTAGGTGGTTGCTGAAACCAGATGCCATTGTTGTATCACAGTTCTTCACTGCCTCCGTCGGACCCAGTGTACTCTTTATTATCACTAACCATCGTGATTGTGCAGTGCATTTTGTTAATCTCTCATGTTTGTGTCACCAACTGCACATGATACTTCTTGTTGTGCACCATCTTACGTGTTAACTGTTTGTCTATTTTTCTTCTACAAGGTGTAGTCACTTAATGAAAGAACAATTCATCTCTTTGCGGACTATTTCTTTGTTTCATTTGTTGGGGGAAGTGCTGGGGTTGTTGCACTAGATACATGTATTCCACTTTCCGTATTAAACTGATCACGTTATAATTATTGTGAGTTCGTTTTTTGTTTCAGAAATGGCTTCCAGAAGCTGGATAAGATCAAAGACTCCAATAGACAAAGTAAACAGCTGGAGGAACTTACAGGAAAGATGAGGGAATGTAAAAGGTATGCCACATATGGGATTTTACTCTCTGACCCTTTGTCTGATACTTTTAGTAACTGAGGATCTTGGACAATCTTAATTTTCACATTCTTTGAAGAGAGAAAATAAGACAGACAAAATGTTGTCACAACATCCAATGCAATGTCCAAAATTCAACAATTCTTGCTCAAAGACTTCATTAGGTTACTTTGGAAGTTTGAAGAATTAGTAACTTATTAACAAAGACAAATTAGGTTGGAGCCATAAAAGTTTCCTCAAGTATAACTAGGATCTTGATGTGAGCGACTTTAAGTCATGCTTATATACAAGCCCCACATCCTGTTCCTGGACTCCCATGCATCTCTTCATTTTTTATTTTTTTGGGGGATATTGGAAGAATTCAGGCGTGCGATGATTGCCGTTATGCTACATGAAAGAAAAAAATAGCTAAAAAGGGAAATAGAATCTCAGTTATTGAGGTATTTTGTTTTAGATAAATTGCAGAGTATGATCTTGTAAATACTTTGTTTCAGATTAATTAAAGAGTTTGATCGTGAAGTCAAGGACGAGGAGAGCCGAAATCCTCCTGACGTGAATAAACAGCTTAATGATGAAAAGCAATCTATGGTAAGTTGTTGTGAGCTTTTGTCTTTTTCCATCACATAAATGCACAGGTACACTGTACCACTTGCATTTTTACAAACTCTGTGACTACTTTTGACCGGTCTATTAGTGCACAAGACCTTTCCGGGTACACAATATCTATTAGTTTCTGCTAGTGTAACAACTCCATCTAATTATCATGCTTCATTTTGCAGATCAAAGAGCTGAATTCATATGTGCAATTGAGAAAAACGTAAGTCCAGTATGCATTCTATGTTATTGTCAATACTATGGAGTCTAATTGGTTTAGCATGTTGCCTTCAGTCCTAATATTCATGGGATAAATAAATTAATCGACAAACACAACAAATTATTGTATATTACAGTCCTTGAATTCTAAACCCTGTCACTCTTCGTGCTCTGGGTATCTGTGATTTTTTAAAGTGATTTTCATACTGTAGCTGAACTGCAGGTATATGAATAGCCTTGGTAACAAGAAAGTCGAACTCTTTGATATGGGAGCAGGAATTAGTGAACCCACTGCTGATGAGAATGTTCAAATGGCTTCAGGTAGTTTTGTCATTCTGCATATCTTTGAGCTTAGTTTGAATTTGTAGAAATGAGCTTTTTCCTATATCTCTTTCAAGCTTTAGCCGTTAATCATGCTATGTTAATCAGCATGCGGTCTTTTAATGATAGTACAAAGTAAAGGTGTATCAAACTTTGTAAAGATCAATCTGCTTGGACCATTCTATCTATGTCTTCTTGTTTTGTGCCTGATTTGATGAAAAGATTTGTCTGACCACCTTTCTAATTGGCATGTATTTCTGATAGCTATGTCAAATCAAGAACTAATCAATTCTGGGATGAAAACAATGGATGAGACTGATCAGGTCATTGAACGCTCTAAAAAGGTGAACAGCTATCCCAGAAAAAAAAACCTTCAACTTTAAGTTTGAGTATTTTATTTTGCCGGCAATTTTAACTCGATAGTTTGTGATAGGTTGTTGAGCAAACAGTTGAAGTGGGAACTCAAACTGCTGTTACCTTAAAGGGCCAAGTCAGTGTGTTCACCTATTGTCTCTATACCTCTCATTTCAAGAGTTTAGACTAACATTGTTCAACTCCATAACTTGTAGACTGACCAAATGGGCCACATTGTAAATGAGCTGGACACAATTCAGTTTTCAATTAGGAAGGCCTCTCAGCTTGTAAAGGAGATTGGTAGACAGGTCAGTGAGATCTCACCCCTTAGATACTCTACTTGTATATTTTTCTAACAAACGCTATTTTTTTCCTCTATATTTTCAGGTGGCAACAGATAAATGCATCATGCTTTTTCTTTTGCTTATTGTAATTGGTGTAATAGCAATTATTGTTGTGAAGGTATGCTGTTTGATTCATTTATCTATTGCCGTAGATTTGCTACCCATTTTACACATTTTTTTTAATACTCAGGAAGTCACACATTTAAGTTACAGAGATATCTGCAGAGTTGTATTATAGGAACTTTTTCCGGAGGAAATTTGTTGATGAGTTTGGCAAGTTATTTCTGACGGATTGTGAACCCTGCTACCTATTTTCCTCTCCCTGTTAAATTGTTAGTAATGCATGGGAAAATTGATGCTTTCCTTCTCAGGAGTGTGTTCAAATCCTCCTGGCAAAAAATTCAAAGTTGAGAAATGACTACATCTGTTCCTAACTGTAATGTCTGTTTATATTTCAGATTGTGAACCCCAGCAATAAAAACATAAGGGATATCCCTGGATTGGCGCCGCCTGCTGCAAGGAGGCTTTTGTCAACGAGTCTTCTGCAACAGTTCGAATAGTTTCCTCCTCTTTTTCAGGATTCAATTTTTCCGACATAGGTACTATGATTCATGTTCTGGGGATGCGGAGGAGGCTCAGAGGAATACTTGTGCATTGATCGGTCTTTTCTTTTACTTATACATTATTCTTGCCCGAGTTGTGCATATTGTTTGTGATTCTCTATGTAAATCACGCGTGAGTCCTTTTTTTTTTGCTTTGGTTTGAATGGCCATCCACGGTTCTTTCTGTAATCTTTCCAAGACTGTTTTAGTTATAGAGAGATGCACTTTGCTCTATATCTACCTGCGATTTAGATGTATTGCCTTCCAATATGTATTCACATTGTTTTATTCTAATTTCTAGTGAATATCGAAGCGCCTTGTTGCAAGTTCTGTGCCATTTTCTGCTCCGTCACAGGTTCACACAATGTGGGAGGGCCTGCGTGTTTCGAGTTCCAGCAATAAACGGTAATTACAACAGTAAACGAGATTGAAGTCCGTATCGAGCTTCATCAACAGCGCGGTAAGTAGCAGTTTATCCAAAAAAATATAACTCGCAATTGAGAATCAATTCGTAACATCTGAGACTACTCATGAATCAGAGCTCATGTTCTAACCACAAAACTCCAGCAACAGAAAAAATACAGAGAACAGACAGACCGCCGCATGATAAACTTTGGGTTTCTCCATTACTACCTGGACTACATATAACAAGGAGAAATGCGTAATTCGTCAAGGCTCTTGACAAATTAATGGTGAGCTTGTTCACCCGATGACCATGGGTCATAAGCTACCATCTACAAAATTCAACCGGCAAATCATGCATTCACTTCCTAAAACCGAAAGTAATACAACGAACTGCCCCCGTGGTTCAGCGCTTTAAAGTCTGTTCCCTGGAAAGAATTAAGGGTCTAGAGTTTGAAAAGAATCTGCATACTCCGTTTCTGGACTTTCCTTTTCCAAACATCAATCTACACGCGAGTTCGTGAATCATGCGGCATAGTTGCCAGCCTGTGTTCGTCCAATGTGAGACAACCTTGTTGATTGAGTTAAGGGTGTTTCTTCATCAACATCATCAGAGGCTGAACCAGCCCCTCCAGGGATAAAAATATCAGAGGACTTTTTCTCCATCTTCCAATCCTGTATTGGCCAGCACAGAGAACACGTGTTACAAAAAAATTATGGGAACTTTAATGAAAAGCTCCAGATACTGTTCACTTTAACGAAAAACACATTTTAACACTAAAAAGTCAATCATAATACTATTCACTTTACCTTTTATTTTGTCTTTATCGGTTAATACTCAAAGTTTTCAAACCTTTTTCATTAGTTTTCCTTTTTATAAGGGGATCAAGGACTCCAAACATTTTACCGGAAATCAAATTCTAGAGAAAGCAAACCTTCGAAATTCTCTCAGGAATGCTTTCAGAAGGTAGCTGAGATGCACGAACATCCTTGACCTTTATGTAATTGTACATGACAACACCACACAGCTGCAGGCCAAATTGACTGGTCAGCCAAAACTTCACATTTAAACATGTATAAAATGCAGTTGTAACTTCGAAACTTTCAAGTTAAGATATATGGAGAGCTACCTATGGCATAACCGATTATGTTCAGCCTGGTTATAATAGACTCTGGAAATATAACAGTTGAAAGGGCAATCAATATCCAGTCTTTCAGAACACCAGCAACCCGGATGGTAACTGCTCCAGTTCTACCAATTACTAAGAATATGGAGAAGTTCAAAGCCAAAGCACAAAGAGCATTGGAGAAAAAGATCCAGAAGTTGAACTGAAACTGTGAATATTCTATTGCAGACTTCTCAAGTAACAACCAAGGCACAAACAGGAAGACAAAACTGCAAAAATAAATGAAACAATAATGGTGAGATGCTGAAGCTATGGCATGCCTGTCAATAGTTTACACTTAATTTTGATTTTCCTGTTTCTACTTCCACAAGCATCAATGGAAAAAGTCAATTGAGTACAGAACCGTGTTTAAATCACATGCATCCATCAATAAGGAGATGTAGAACTTCATCAGAATAAGGGTGTAAACAGAAGGAATGGAGATTTCCCATGGTACAGATGGATCGTTCTTATACTGATAGTAAGCTTACCAAAATTGTGAATCCCAGCCATATACCATAAGTTACAGATTCAGAAACTCAAAATTACGAGAAATAGTAAGTTAAAGAATAATTGGCGTTCACTATCAGAACTAAATTCTAGAAATGAGTCACTATTCTCTATCAAGATTGTTACGGATGCCAAAGAACTAATATGCTACTTATTCATACTTTGCAATTGGAAAAAGTAGAGTTCATATATTGCGATTGGAAAAAATAGTGTTTGCCTAAATTCCAACTCCTATGATGCATACAAGTCCAAGCATGATAGTATAATACCTGCATGGGGCGATATAGTACAAACTGGTGATTGGATTTAGAGTCAAGCCCTTCTTCTGTAGAAGGACTTGTGTTAAGACCAGTCTAAGAGCTTCTGCAAAGATGCCCGTAACCTGGTACACTGTACCAACTACATTAAAATGAATCTCCCCGTATGAGGAAATGACAACTCCAACACTGACCAGCAACATGTTTGTGAACACATCGCACCTTGGTTTGTCAGTGCCACACAATACAGCCATGATAAAAGTAGCCACTGGCACTGCAGTATTGAATGTACATAGATATAAGCAGTCATTTGCGTTTAAAAGCATCATTATTGTAGTAAAATAGATATCATGAGTCTCTGCATCAGCACACATACTTAGAGCTTTAAGCATTTGGATGAACGCCACTGAAATATGCAAGTAAGCAGTGTTTCCAAACCTGTAATGACAGAAAAAGAAAAGTTCAAAACAAAAAAACTTGAATTCTCGTCTTGAATCTTGATAAGTGCAATTTACAACAATGCAAAACTTGACAAGCATACAATTCCTAAATGTGGGCATTGCATTTGAGCCCAAATCTGGACAACTCAACCAACAAGGGACACCAATTCTTGAAGGAAGTTCGGACATTCTACATCAGGGAATCTAAGCATAAGTCCATTGTTTACCACAAAATGAGAAATTGTAAGAGAACAGATTGGCACAAGTAACATTAAGTCTCTACGCATTTTAGTATTTTCATCGTTGAGAGGCATGAGCCTAGTTACAGTCAAATCTGAAAATTTTGACCGTAACCTTTACATAAAAATATGACAATAACCATCTCAGCCAAAACAATCCATGCCCTTATTAGTTGCATTATTAGCCAAAACACCCAATTACATTTCAATTCAGTGCTTACCAAAGACTTGATGCAAAGAACGCACTGATTGGAATTACACATGTTGCATATCTGCCATATAAAGGGAAAAAAAAAATAAGAAAAACAATTTGGACAAAAAAAATTAATAACAAGTCGGAGCCTAAATTCAGCCTACATACTTACATTTCAAATGTCATTTTGACAGGAGCTACAACCTGCAAATTCACAGAGGAATAAATAAGGAGAACAAAAGCAATAAATGAATACAACAAAAACAAAAATATGGAGTAGTGACACATGCATAACAGAAAACTGATACTTGCATAAGATGCAGCCAAAAAAAAAAAAAAGGAAAGAAACTAGAGCACACCGTGTGTACCCTAACTCTGCACAATTGATGACAAACTATAAATTTTGAAATTCAATAAAATTTCAAAATTGGCTTCTATAGCTCCAGTTAAATCCTATTTCACTCTGGCCATATAGGACATCAGTTACATGCCTTGTCCCGCTATAGACTAACCTAACCCACTATCTTTTTGGCAGTCTCCCTTCTCATTCAGAGTTGGGTAGCATCAGTTTCGAAATCATTCATGTATTAACTACTGATAAGAGCAAATTCAGGAAAAGCAGAGAAGGTAAGAATCCTAATGGACACAAACAGCAGACATCAACTCAACCAAGATCTCAAGGTAATCAAAGTGATGTGAATCACAGATGAGTTCCAGTCAGATAAAGTTAATAGCGAGGATTAATATGTCAGGGAAATTATATGATATCACTTCGATTGTCAACTAAACGAAAATCCACTACCTGTCAATACGTTAAACTGGCTTGACAGAGATATCAACACCTATGTCAAAAGTAATTTGGAGATACAAAAAGCATATCCAAAAATAAAGAGTCAGTCATACCTTGAAAACACGAACAAGTAAAAATGCTACTAGTCCAGAAAATCCCATATGAATCATTGTAAGTGATGGGTAATGGAAAATTGAAGTATTTTGGAGACAGAACCCACTGCAAGGAAATTCACCCAGAAAATCTTCAGTAAAACAAGGAGGAAAATAATAGCTCAGAGTTTCAGTTTAACCAATAAAGACTATCGGTAACCCGCAATATAGATATAAACATGCAAATCAGTAATGGCAAGATATAAAAATGAAGTACTGAGGAGGAAGGACCTTGTTGTACAATATAACGCCGGACGAAAGCAGAATGTAGATGAACAGGTAAAAATAAGTCAGCAACAGCGGTTTGCTGATCATCTTGGGCATTTTTTCTTTTATCAAACGACCTAATGTATGATTTTCTGGCCTTTAAACCATCTTATTCAACATTTTTCACTCCGCAAATGTTATGCAGTCCTAAACCCAGAACCGGAAGAGGACCTCCTCGTGCCCTCAATCACAGATTTGTGTGAGGATCAAATATTGCAATGGCTGCACCGACTCGAATGCTTAAATCCTGAAAGTGAAGGCACAAATGAGAGAAACATACTACAGTACCATACACCTTAACCAAACAACAAGGAAAGCATCAAACATTTGTTTATTAAAATAGTAGGAAATGGTACAAAAATTAAAAGTGGAAGCTGCAGAGAAATTGGGGAAATGGGCAAGCACAGAATCTGATCCAAGACACTTAGCAACAAGCATTCAACAAAGAATCACGCCATGGTTTCTTCAAGAACTAACAAAACCAACATTTCGCAATTGGAAACCGAAAAGGGCAGATCTAAAAGGGACCCAAAACAACAAAGCGAGAGAAGCCCAATTCAGATTCTGATCCAAAACACAAAACCCATGTCGAATTCAAGACGAACGAGCTTACCCAACAGTCGAAATCAACTGGAACTCGCTTCGAATCTGAAAAACCCCCGCTTAATTTCAGAGATCTACCCACTTGGGAAAGAAGACAAAGCGACACGGAGTAAAGGAGAAAGAGAGGGAGAGAGGGAGAGAGAAATGGGATCAAGGACTGGGAAATGGTTGGTGACAGTGGGTGGGCAAATGAGTACAATAAATAAGGCTGGGAAAGCTAAGAGAGGGAAGAAAGTGGGGTTATCGATGAATCACAGAGAGAGAGCACGTGGGGTAGCCTGAATCAGAAGAAAGAAGGGAAATTTACGACTAGCAACAAGCAAACCAGCAAAGAGAGCAAGAAAGAAAGGGGCCCGCTCGCCTTGCCCTCCTTCTCCTACCTAGTGAGAGAGAGAGAGAGAGAGAGAGAGAGAGAGAGAGAATGCAAGACCAAGCGTTATCTGGGCCTTCCTCTCACTGTCTGATTGCGACTTACTGGCTTTGTTTGCCACAGAAAGAGGAGAGCGAAGAATAATAAGCGTTTTTCTATAAATCCCGCGTTTTTGTTCTCTCTCTCTCTCTCTCTCTCTCTCTCTCTCTCTCTACTATTTTACCGGACGGTTTTGTTTTATTACGTGTTGTTGATTATGACTTTCATAAAACAATTTCACTATTAGCGTCACGTTTTGGTTTAATAATGTGTAAATTTCTCTCTGCACGTTATTGGGTTGTTGAAACGAGATTGAATCTTTGGTTTAATAATGTATAAATTTCTCTCTGCACGTTATTAGGTTGTTGAAACGAGATTGAATCTTTCAGTAAATCTGTTGCTTTCATTCTTAAGACTTCTCTTTGGTCAGTCACTCACTCATTTTCTAACTGAGTATGCATGTCGAATTGTCAATCTCATAATCAAAGACTAAACATCACTGCAATTGCGTAGAGTTGTGCACTGTACGATATAGTGCGCCGTCAAGGTTCCTTCAATGAACGGTCGCTCATGCATAGCGGGTAAGTGATTCTTTATCGTAGACGTACGTGAATTTTACAATAAATTCCATATGCATTAGCAGTTACGTACACCCACTAACGACTGACTAGCATTATCATTCTTCCCAAACCGTACAATTGATGGAAAGATTAACCTTCCTAGTTGTTGTGCACGAAATAATACCACGTGTTTTATAAAGGAAGTGTCGCAAGTTGGACGTAGGGACACATATTACACGATGGTTAAAAGCTGGTATGAGCCAAAAAAAACATTTCATTTACTTGTCACTTTAGTACTAGGATAGAAGCATAGAGCCATTTCAAATCGACCTGGATTGTCGGCCCTCTCCTATCTCATCTTATTCTATTTATGTGGTCACGATTAAGCCACGTTAATATTTTATATTGATTTTTTTTATAGAAATAATAAGACAAAAAACAATGAGAATATAAAATGTTGACGTGGTTTAACCGTGACCACAGAAATAGGAAGGGATGAGAAAGGTATGGGATGATGAGGGCTGACAATCCAGATCCATTTCTGATACCCGAAAGGTTATGGGTGCCTCCAAAGTTGTCAGGCTGGAATGGCTAGAACCTAGAGAGGTTCCCCTTTATAATATATATTGGAGTTTGGAGTCTTTTGACCTTCCTAATAGTGGTTAGTGTATATTTTGGCTTTGCCCTAGCTGTATATGAATTCTGATGTAATGACATTCTAACCACAACAAACTCAATTAGTAGTTTTTATCAGAAAAAAAAAAAAAAAAAACTCAATTAGTCAAGCTATAATCTAAATATTTTATGGTGCTCCATAGTATATTTAATTTCACAGAGTACTCTAGAGTTGATCATTGTGATTCTCCATAACTTTTCAACAAATTGAATTGATTTAGTCGGCAAAAACTTGAGTGTAATTGGGAATATATTTTGATCAAGGAGTATTTTGTATGATCAATTTTCATGTAATGATCGGGTGCAAAATACAATTTTCTTAGCTAGGTATGGGATGATAATTGACATTAGTATATTGTTGTGAGTATTGTTGGATATATGTCAACAATCCGTAATAAAATAAATATGCTAATAATAAATACGAATAAATGTATTCCAGAGACTCAACAAGATGAAATATTAATTAAGCAGAGTAATAAAAGATTGAGGCTTGCGTACCGTAATGTCCTTGAAACAAAAATTTCGCCCCTACTCAGTGCTTGTAGTTCTACGGACGTCTGCTTCACCAGGATTCAATGATCTAAGTCAGAAATTCCAGCACCGGAAAATTGACTTCTGGCGAATATTAATGTGGTTCTCTCATAAAGGATGTTTATGATTGCAGGAGAAGATTTATGATTTTTTTTTTTTTTTGTATTCTAAATGTCATGCAGATGAATGTATATATATCAGATAGATGCATGTTTGCAACAGGTATGAGAATGGGGTGTGACTGTTGGGAGACATCTCTTCAGAGGGGTGCTTTACTCTGTGTTCAGAAAGAACTCTCAGACTTCATCTGAAAGGATGAATCTTTTCATAAAAAATAAATAAATAATTAAATTCAAATTTAATTAAAAATAATTAAGTAAATCCAAAAAATAATTAATTAAATAATTTAATTATTAGAGCCCAAGAGCCCCACCCATCTTTTGACAATTAAATATATATTATTTATAATTAATTATATATTAATTACCAATTAATTAGTACACCCCAAAGCCCAACCCCAAGGATGAGCCCAATTTTAGTCTCCATGCCTATTACTCCAATCACTTTCTCTAAAGGACGAAGCCTTATAAAGTGATAAAATCTTTTGGGAATGGCCAATGTGGGACAAAGAAATTTATACTCAAACTACTCAAATTTCCAACAAGTATGAATTCTATATTTGAAAAGAGAAGTTTTGCTTACTGATTTAAATAATCCTAAGAGACTCTCTTGTACTGCCAATTGATTTTAGGTTGGAAGAAAAGGAAAGTCTTGCCTACTTATTTAAGTAATTATAAGCCTGTCTCTCCTGATTTGAAAAGAGAAGTCTTGCCTATTGAATGACTAAATGACGTTAGTTTTAATTGATTTTTTGTAGAGAACATATTTACATAATGATTTATAATATAAACATTTCTTATTATAAACACAAAGTTCTATAAATCGATCTCACATTAGTTGGTCAAGTGTAATGTGACAATAATTAACAAGGCTCGCAGCATGAATGAGTCAAAATCAAATTCGATGGCTCAATGAAAGTAATGCAATTGATATTTGATATTCCTGCCAAAAACTCTTGCAATTTGTATTATGAGGGGTCTTTTTTCATGAATATTCATGGACAAAGACAAGATGATGGAATATATACATCTAACTTTCTATTCACTAATGGGATTCAAGCGTCTGTATAGACATTTTAGATGTAGCTGTTGAAATCCCTCGAGCAATGCGTGCAGTTTGATAAATTTTCATCAACAAATTAATGGTCAGAAAGTGGATGGGACTAGAGAAATTTAGAATATAGGGTTTGGACCACGACTGAAAACAAATTAAATTAACATCACACATCACAATTAATTGGAATCATCGGACAGGCCAACTACTCTAATACAGCTGCATAATTACTATTTTTAATCATTTTTAGGTCACATTATTTCTCTAATCCCATCCCAAAAGCCTTCTTATGGAGATATCTTAATAAACGCTACAAGAAGAAGCACCATTTTTGGCTTCTAACCTGAATTCGATACAATTAATAGGATATGAAATGACATTTGACTTGATCTGTTTACGTGTCTAGTTGAATGATGGTGTATATAGTTCTTGGCATATGATAGAGAGGGAATCCCAAAGTGTACATGATGTCGTCGAATATAATGTAAATACTCTTAACCACTTGAGTAACAAACTTTTTGAAAACATCTTGCAAGACATTGCATTAAAACAATTCGAAAGGAGTTGTACCAACCATGCTACTTAGACACATAAAATTGACCACATTGCTGACTACTTTTTTAACATAGGTGAATTCTACACACAACTGTGAAGTCCATCTATAGAAGAAAGGTGGTCGACAATATAGTTTTTTTATGTGTCTAAGTAGTATTATTGGTTTCGAGCTATTTGTGTCCATGACCACATGGTCTAGTGGCACCTCATATTTCACTTTATTGAAGGAAGTTTAAGTTCAAATTTCATGAACAATAGTTTGTTAAATTCAGAATAGAAAAGAAAACAAGTCTAGAATCCCTTTATTTAATTTGGGCCTTACTATTTTTGGGCGGACTCAAACACATTTCAAATTTTGGGCCTCAAGAACTTTGAACACATCCAACGGCCACAAAATCAAGTGTCTTTCCCAACACAGAAGTAGTATTCTGGGGTCCTAAGTTGTTCCTCTGTATCTTTCTAAACAGAAGAAGTTTATCTTGAAGTAAGTGCTCCAAGTCCAATTTTTTTAGCCTTCATCATTAAGCTGGAAAAAGGGAGTGTGACACAACCATATTGAATTCATATGGAAAATTAGGAATCACTCTTCTACAGTCGGAGAAAAATTGAGTGTAATACCAATTTAAAGAACTCACGAGTTCGATATATCAAACTTAAGAGTGTGTTACCAATGAACTCATACTAGTGTAACAATAGTATTACAGTAATCAAACTTAGATATTTGATTCTTATATATATGTATCACACTCACCTAAATCACTGTGGAGGGCTTTACAAACCATAAACAAAAAATTAAGTGATTATGTCATAGTTAGGCCTAAAAATTCTGTGAGATTTGCAATTATGGTGTCAAAAGTTCAATGGAATGAGCCACATCAACAACAACGTTGGAGATTGGAGGTTAATAGAAAATTCCAAATAATATAATTAGGGGAAAATATAATTTCATTAGAAAAATTTATTTCATTAATTATTGCATTAAAACTGCATTAATTATAAATTAATCAAATCAGTAACATAAGTTGATGCTTCCCAGCTAACAACCGTATATTATCTAAACAGAAACAGATGTTGCTGTTTCAACAACTGATGCAATATGTCATCAGCTGCATAATTACTATTTTAAACCATTTTCAGGTCACATTATATCTTTACCAATTGTACACACGTTATGTATGTGCTTAATATTTTGAGAATAACATTTACAATGAGAGAAAATATAATATGGTCACTAAAGTTTTTTGATGTCGACCTTGAACAATTTTTCGTTGCTGAAGAGATTATTCACATCTTTAGCGACTATTTCGTCACTAAAAGTTTATTTTATTTGGAAGAAAAACTTGGAAGATAAAATGAGGGCAACTGATATAGTTACCTAGCTATGAGGCTTTAAAAAAAATGAGTTTTAACGAAAAGCCCACGGTATTGTTCACTTTAACGAAAAACCACATTTTAACACTAAAAAGTCAAACTCAATTTACCCTTTATTTTGTCTTTATTGTAAAAACTCAAAGTTTTCAAGCCCTTTCATTAGTTTTCCTTTTAAAAAAACAATAAAATT